TTTTAATTACTTTTCAGAATACCTTCCATTTTGACTCCGTTTACTGGACTGATTTAAACAGTTACAACCTTCCAGGAGGCCTGACAGGCTTTGATGACAGTGAGACCAAGTTACCAACCTATTGGAGTACACCCTTCTCCAAGATCTGTCTGGGTATGAAGGTTGACCAACAGCTCAGATTTATAGTAATTAACCAGCCAGCTGCCTCTTTGCACTCACTGATCGCTGATGGGCAATACCGTGCTACTTCACAGGGCCGAGACACATGGAAGACCCTCCTTGGGTCACAGGGCTCATTGCAGCTAAACTGTAATAAGGAAGGCTTCAATTCTGCGAGCACTAATTCTGGTAGCGCTAAGACGAGAATTGGAATCGTTTCTAACGAGGGATCGGATGGCTGTTACAGTTGTGATTCAAGAATAGGGTATGGTGGAGCGAATGGGGCTGATAACTCAAACACGTGTGGAAACGTAGCTAACTGGTCCCCAGATAATGGTGACAAAAACATTAAAGCCATGGGATACATTCTCGCTCAGTGATAAAAAACGCAGCAGTAGTTGCACGTAGATGAAGGCAAACTCGACCGAATATGATCCATTTTAATGGACGCTCAACCATACGCATATACCAAACGCTCCTATATTCTAATGTGAAAGTATAATGAGTAGAGGCAAGGACCTTTGAAGGGTGTCATCCCTCTCAAACTTTGTATTTCTTAATTATTATATAAGTGCTGAGATTTACTCGGGGCAAACTCACTGAATAAAAATCGGCTCCCTTTGATGAGAAGCAAACCCACTGGTCATGTGATCTTTTTCACTAGTGAAAAATATTGTACGACGTTTTTTGACAAGTGACAAAAATCGTATCGGCTTTTCCGGCCTTTCGTGGCGGCCATGCGAAGTCACTGAGAGTGAATGTTTGCAACGTTTCCTGCTTGTCCAGAATCATGGCTTCAAGGTTTGTTCATATTAATTCAGTGGGAAAATACAATAATCGAGGATCAAAAAAAAACAAAATACAAGAAAGAAAACTCAACATAATGTTCTTCGATCTCAGTTCATTCAGTTACTTTGGCCGTAGATTATCAACATGGCCAGCAAGCAATGCCGCTCTTTGCTGGTGCTGTTATTCATGGCGGTCAATTCAATATATCTATCACCAACCTTAATCAATTACCGACTTTGTCCCCTCCAGAAACTGAAATAAAGTCCACAAAGAGGTACAAAAGACTAAAAGTATTCTACTCCAATTTAGAATAGAAAACGCTTTGTTAGTTTGCAAGCTAGTGTGAGCCAATGTTTTCAAAATCTTAAATTGTCAAACGTTAGCCTAAATTTATTTGAATGAGGTTTTTAGTCTTTTTTCTTAAAAAATGAATTATTTTAAAAGTACAGTCCTTTCGCCTTTTTAAGAACGTGTCCACCTGAAAACCGTGCAGACGAGTCTACACGACCCCCGACTGAATTCGCTCAAATTTGGCTCACTTTTTGCCCACAATGAACCTACAATCTAGACCAAAGGGTTTATTCAGATGCTGCTTTTTTAGAGAGCTATACTAGCTTTAAGTTTTTGTCAAAAAATGAGCAAAAATCCGTGCCAAYAATGCAGTGAATTCATGGTGTGGCTGTTTCTCCAAAATCTCAAGCCAACAAAAAGTATTTCGCTAAGTGAAAGTAGAAACCTAGATCTTTATGTACAAACATAAAATTATATGATTGTCTGTTTTTAAATTTTTGAGCCATCAATCAAACTTGACAATTTTCACCATTTTACGAAATAACGGAAAATACCCCCAAAATAGCGGGAAAAAGCAAACAAGTGGCTATGTTTTGATTCATTTCAATGGTTTTTCCAACTTGAATAATTGATGATCTAAGCAATTACTGAAATAAAAGTGTGTGATGTTTGCATCTTAGATGAAGAATCTCCCCTTGAAATACGGCAATCCGGCGTGCCTGGGAGGGCACGTGACACGTGCCAGAATGATCGTAATACCCAGTCCGTTTGTTTATAGGTCTCCATAACGCAGGGAAAACTTCGAGGAGATCTTTAGGAGTGTTTTGAAAAACCCTTTCCATGTTTCATTCCAGAATTATCTTATCTAAAAATCATATGGGAAACCCGGCCGCTTTTTATTTTATTATTTTTTATTGCACCGAAACTTTTAGGCTTTTTTAAGTAAGAAAAGTTCTTATTTGTTTGCAGTAAAAGCAAAGTAACGATCAAGTATATCGAAAATGCAAATTTAAAATATTTGGCTAGTTTTGTNACGCACTAACACCGACATTTCCTTCGCTTTTCATGCATAACCATACCAGCAGACATTTCGTAAAGATGGGCGATTTTAAAAGTGTTTGTTCTTTTCAGCAATATTCTAAGAATGTAATCTCTCTGCTCGAAACAAGAGCGCTAGATCTATTTTTATTGTGAAGAATTGTTCTAGCAGCGCAAAAGAGCACTTGTATGATTGTTTCAAAGCCTCCCGGGAGGGAGTAGG